ATGACCTTCTGTAACAAAGATGACAAAAATAGGATGCCTAGATGTCGAGACAAATGGAATTCCAAATTAGGAGAAACTAAAGGTGGAAACACAAAACATGCAACATGATGCAAGGAAAATGATGTACATGAAACTTTATTATTTGGGGTCTGATATTTAATAATTCCCTACATTTGAATTTAGTTTGTCAATCATCTGTCTTGTGTCTGAGTGCATAAGGGATGGGCTCAGTAAAGTCAGTCAACTGCAATCACAAATTTTTTAGGTGCACTGTGAAAAATCTGTTTGCAAATGCGAACAGGTAGTTGCTAACTTTGAACCCTGCTAAACAAGCATTACAACTTGCACACAGAAATTGTTATACCTCAAATGTGTAGTAATGATCCTGGTTAGATGGGAAGCAATTTCTTTTGTTAAGGCGTAATACGCTTTCCTCACATAGGAGTGTTTTCATTTTTGCACAGAGAATGCATAAACCTACAAAAACGCTGTTTAGGAAATAAAATGTATTTAAACTCTGTTTTTAAGGGGTGGATCTTTTTTGTTAAACAATTTCAACCAATCATATAAGAGTTGCAAACAATAGCCAAGTCTAGTTAACAATTTCACGTGTGCCTCATAGAGGATTTCTATGTTACTCAGGACTCGACAAAAGCGCTATCCGATAGCCCAGGGCTCATAAAACGACCTGTTGGGCAAGTGCCTTTTTATTGCAGTTTGCCCGATGGGCAAGCAACATTTGTTGTCTTTTTTCACTTTTTTTCATCATTAAGTTAAAAAAGAATTGAGAAGTGTGTAACAGACAGTTGACTAGTGAAAATCAATGTTAATAACATTTTAAAAATGTGGGAATACATCAAAGACGAACAATAGAACTTGAATTTGAGTTATGCATTCTGGGAAATAACGTTAGTGGCCTTAACTTTGCTTTCACCCTCCCTCCTACTTAAGTCTTTAAATTTGCTGTTTGCTTTCATTTTATGAAGTTGTAACAAAGCCAGTCAGGATCTGCCTTGTCGTTTATAACCATTTTGTTTCATTTGCCTTGACTTTGTCTTTGCGTTAATTATTGTGAATAATTTGCTTTTTCCGCAAAAGGCAAACATCCAATTTTAATTCTGCCATCTGCGGTTTCCACGTGAAAGTGAGTAGTTTCGCATTTCTCATACTCTTGAACATGTAAATTATTTTCGATCTAGTGGATTTATTTTACAATTTGAGGAAAAGTATGGATAATCAACTGCATAAGCTGCTGTTTGCTGTGGAACGCTTAGTCTCCCTCACAGCCGTTTTTAGTGTTACACTGAAACAGCCGCGAGGGGGACTATGGAACGCTGTGCGTAATTTAATCTCTATCTTGAGACTCAGTCACGTGATCTAAAATTGTTACTTTTGTTGTATAAACTTACAAGATATTTAGTACTGGTTTCATTTCTCAATCAATCATAACTTTCATAATGGGCATAAAAATAAGTTTTTCCTGTAAAGATTATAATGTATTCTGCAACACTTGCCGTCAGGAAAAAACAGAATTCAGTTATTTTTTGCTTTGTAGTATGATATTATTCTTGTCTTGTTTGAATGAAATATTACCCTACAACAATGTTTCATTTGTTACTAAGTTATTTGCAATTTTGTTCTTCAAAAAGTAAGTGATCTGATTTATTTTTCACGGCAATAGACAATACACTCTCTGACCCATTCATTCATTTATTCCTTTTTTTTCGTACTTTTTTTTGACAACATATTTCATCATGTTTGGAAAAGTCATGGACCAGGGACCACATACTGTACTGTGTTATTTTGTATAACAATTCTCATGAAGCAGTTTTATAAATTTTTAGCCTGCACAGCACATGCCAGTGGCATGACAATTGCTAAGCAAGGTGTGATCTTGCTTTAATTTGGTGACAAACATCTCTCTCTCCATTGGTTTGGGCGAACCCAGTTGCCTAGCAACAAGGCAGGATGTAAACAAAACCATCATAAACCTGGCCAGGTTGCTTTAGCGGCAGTTTAATAGATCAAGAAATGCTTTTAGCAATAAATTTCGAAGGTAGAAGTACCTTTTCAGAAAATCGATGTGATTTGGACCATTAGCTTTAAAAATAAGCTTATGTTTTGCGTCCTACTTCGCATACAAGTTGTACCGCCTTTCTTGGGCACATGTTTTTTCATTGCCGTGAAACACATTTACTTTGTTTTTTTACTGTCAATAGCCCAGTTATTTTCCTGAAATATACCTTTGAATTCGTATTTAATACGGCTCGATCTGGTGTAAACATCGTTTGCCAATGGAAGTTCCATGGAAAAGGCATGAAGACTTTTCACTTGACTTACATAATCATCCTTAGTAGTTTAGTGGTAAGGTGAAGTCACATTAAGCCGAAGGTGTGGGGTTCAAACCGATCATAGTACCCTTTCTTTCTTTCTTTCTTTCTTTCTTTCTTTCTTTCTTTTTTTTTTTTCTTTGTTGTTTTGTTTTGTTTGCTTTTTTGTTTTGTTGTTGTTGTTTTTTTAATATATATATTTTCTTTTCCCTATTGGCTTCATTCCCTTTCTTTCTACTCCTTGCCCTTAACCTCTGCTTCACATATTTCTAGTTAAATTTGATTATTTTCAATCATCAATTTTCTCTCAGGCTAGTTCTTCAGAGCTCCAGGCTAGTAAACTAAAGTAGCTCCTTTTTTTTCGTTGTCATCTTACCCTGGTTACTTAGACTCAGACAAGATTTTGTTGTGAAGAAGTTGGTCAGAAAACGGGATTTTTATACATGCTGCTTTGCCAAGATTTCATAAAATTTGCAGTTCAAACCAATCAGAAGTATAGTAGAGGCAATAGTGAATTTAGCACCTTTTTGCTTTCTCGCATGTTCATTGCATTAATTTGTTCTTTCCTTCTTATCTGGACCATTAGTTAAAAAATTTGTAATTTTGAAAGTAGGAAAAACTAGCCTTATATCAAAAGGTTTACATAACTGATTAGCAAGTTAACATATCTGTTACAGGTCAAAAGTATATCCAGGTTAACATTTTTTAACCTAGGTTGATTCTCAGTTTCCTTTGTCTCCTAGGCCTCTATTCAATATTGAGGCCTAGGAGACAAAGGAAATTGAGAGGCAACGTAGGTAAAAAATTTTTAAGCTGAATTAAATTTTTAGCTGCAACATGTCCATCTCTTTACTTTGACAAGAGGTGCCCAATGTAAATGATCTTGCAACAGAACTCAAGTGTTTCCTAAGGCTTGATTCAAGAATCGGTCTGTTATTCAACTGTTGAATGATGTCTGAATATATTTGAAAATATTTTTGTAGATGAGTTCTTTGGGAAGAAGTTCTTCCTTAGAATGACAGACAATTTTGAAGGTCCGTGGGGAACTTCATCCTAGTGTTGTTTGTGGAAAAAGTTCTATCAATCCAGGTTTTGATTGCTGCCAATTTGTAGTTGAAATGGGAGAAACATAAGTAACCTGTGAGAGAATGTGAATGTAGTTTCTTGAAACTGTGGTCTTGTGACTGAAGACCACAGTAACTTAGGGAAATTAATCTGATTTGGTTATATCGAAAGTGCAGTTATATGTATTATCTATTTTAATAGGTTCTAGCAAGTCTCCAACTGATGAACTCAGTCATCATGCCCTTCCTAATAGCAACTCACATGGCAGCAGTGATCGCCATAGTAAACCCAATCACATCAACAATGATGAGGTAAGGTACCATATTCACTTGAGGGATGGCTGCGGGGTTTTTTTAGTTTAGTTTTTTTTTTTTTAACAGCTCTATTGGGTGTCATTACCTTATACATAATTAGTTACATAGAAACATCTTTGAAAAAGAAATAAAAAAATGAAAATAAAAGGAAAAAAAGGCATTATACCCAAAGGGGCAAGCACAAACGAGACCATAAGGACCCATACAAGGTACTGCCCAAAAAGATAGTAAAAAGAAAAAAAGCTGTAAATGACACAATTATATCAGCATACATGTATAGAAATAGCAAAACGTGCACGATCTTACCAGTGACCAAGTGCATGGGCACCCCATGTCAATTAATGTTTTTTGCAAAAGACTTGTCAGAGTTTGTTTCAAAAAGTTTTTGAAGATGTCGATACTGGGGAGGCTGCTTTTAGGCACAAATTTACAAGTGAAGTTTCTTAATTTGACTATCCTATTAAAGTAAGAGACCTGAAATGTGGAAGTTGTGCAAAACAAACTTTTAAGTTGAAGGATTGCTTTGCTAGTATGGCCATGAGTTACCAAAGAAGCAAAGTCAGGGCTGTAGCTAGCATGAGGCAAGACGAGGCAGTTGCCTCGTCTTGATTTTGGCCTTTTTTTTTTACAGCAGTTCTGTTTTAAAGAGATGGGATGCCTCTGGCCACAGACAGATTGCCTTAGCTTTCAGTAAAGAATAAACAATGGGCAAAAAACTTTCACTTTTCTAACTGTTAAGGAAGAAGTCTACTACTTTTTATCGTGAAAGTTAGTGACTTCTTAGTCCTACAAGTATAAGAGATGGCAGTATTATGACATGGCTGTCTCATAGTTGAAGAACATAAGCAAGAGTGTATCGAAACAGATAATTGATAAGTGAGCGTGATTCTGTATAATCATCTAAGAACTAACTTCAAAAAAAGTGTTACCTAAGACTAATTATCTACAGTATAAAATCCATAAACGTTGGCTACTCTCATGGATTCTTTTTATTGTTATAATACGTGCTACAACATTTGAATGCTTTAAAATACAGATGGTCATTAACTTGGCACCAGTATCGCTAAGCAATAAAAAAGTGAACTTCTGCACTTGCCCAAGATTGACTTTTCTGAAGAAAAATGCCACGCAAAATGCTTACAAAAGCATTTCTGAGCCCCTCAATTTCAAAATTTTCAGGGGGGCATGCCCCCAGACCCCCTAGCGGCTCGCGCCTTTGGCGCTCGAAACTTGCCTTGTCTTGTTCTGAAGTCTGGCTATGGCCCTGAAAGTTATGTAGATTTAGATCTGTTTGCCCACACAAACATTTGTAGAAAATATCTCATTAAGCTCTCTATCAAATAATAATGGTAACATGTCCAGTGTAATACATGTAAGTCTTTCCTTGTAAGACATTTCTCTGATATAAGACCGCAGAATCCATTGTGTGGCTCCTTGAAAGCCCCAATCAATTATTGACTTCCTAGGGTTCTCCTGGCTTACAAATCTACTTTTATACATACAGTGCCTTTCAAAACTGAGATGACAGTCTTTTTGGAGTCTTGGTCCTGAACGAACCATAATTCTCACAGGAATTGACTGTTGAGAATTGAATGTCAATAATCCATCTTTGCAAAATTGAGTCTTAGTTCTCAAATCAATTCATGCAAAGGCTAAAGTATCAACTGTCATCTTTCTTTTGAACTGTACATCTACACTGTTATATGTTTGTGTCTGCTGTGCATGTGAAAGCATAAACTACATTCCAGGGCTGCAAGTGTTGCATGTTAGTTTCAGATCATCTTTTCTTATTGTTCTGGGGGGGCAAATTTTTGGAAGATCAAATGGCACTAATCCGGGGTTAAAACTTTTTATCCGGTTTATTTTTCTTTTGTTCCAAAGCATTTTCTCGGATAATTTTCTCCATTCTGTTTAGAGCATCCAACCATCAAATTGTAGGCAAAAAGAACTTAATTTAATATTTATCTTTTTAAGCTTTCATATCGCAATTCAAATTTTGCACTTTCCTTGGGTTGTCTTAACCCCATCCCTGTTTGTTTTGCAGGTTTTTCCTTGGTCTCAACACACCAGTTCTTCTGGAAAGGTGTATTATTACAACTGTAAAACAGAAAAATCCCAGTGGGAGAAACCAAGGGAATGGATGGAAAGGTAACATATGCAAGATATTTAATTCCTTTACTCCTAATAGTACCCTACATGTAGGTGCCAGTGCTTTCTTTTCCAATAAAATTCCTGGTTGCAAGAGTTTCCCATCTTGTTTTCATGCAAGGTGCGGATCTTGTATCTCACCAAACCAGTTTTGGGGCTGATGTGCATGTTTGTTTTCAATAAGTCCGACAGATGACTAGATTTCCCATTCTAGAGCCTCTTGTTGAAGGGGGGATCTATTTTGTGTGCCTCCTACATGCTTTAGCAAAAGTTTTGTGTTTTGGGAAAGAACATTGCTCTTCTCTTCTTCTTCTTCTTCTTCTTCTTCTTTTTTTTTTAACTCATACCCAAGGCTGTGCTCTAATGGCGCCCAGTCGCCTAGGTGACTAACATTTCGCTTCAGGCAACTGAAAAAAAATTCTCGGTCGTCCTGCCGGGCACTCTCGCTTGTAGTGCAGTGTTCAGTTAAGTGGGCAGAAAAATTAAACATACTAGCGTTGGCTTGTTGAGTCAGAGTTTACTAAACCCTACAGAAAATGTTTTTACAAATATTGAACGAAAGTAACGGGCGCGCGTCGATGTTCAAAGGTCCTTCTGCATGATTTCACATGTAACATAATAATAATTTGAACGTGACAAGCGGCACGGATTGAATTGTACTGCAACTTAAAATAGTTTCAGAATTTTTTCTTTCAGATAGAATGGTTTATTAGGTACAGTCTTTAGGAGAAACTGTTAATATTTTTCTGACAAGTGTAGAGCGCAGTTGGCAACGTGGAGTAATTTATTTTTGCATGAAACGGAAGTTGCTGTATTGACCAGTATGCAAATTTAATATTTTTATGGTTTTTGGCTGTTGTGTCTGCTTGGCTAAAACATAACTTATGATCGTTTTCTTCCTTTTGCATAAGATGACGAAATATGAAAAGAAAAGATATGATCGTTCTGATCGTTTTTATTGTTGTTTAAGAAACAGGGCAGTTCCATGTTGTCGTGGCATTGTACGTATCGAAAACTAAATTCGCACGCATGCATATATTTTTCTTAGAGCACAGCCATGATACCCCCATCATGCCAAAGCTTCATTATGCATAAGGACTGTTTTCCTTAATGGACACAGTGAAAACATACATGCTGTAGTTGCCTACTTACTTATATTGATTGCAAATTTAGTTAAGCTTTTACAAACACAAGTTGACCATGAGGTCATAACTTGTGCAATAAAGGTATCTTTCTTGTACCAGAATCATGGTTTTACAAGATCAGCTTAGCGTTTTTCGGGTGTAAATGGGCTGACAAAGTAGTGCTTAACTCATTGGTTGAGAAGATAAGAGAGGAAGCTCATCAATAAAGGCTTTTGTGATTGCTCAGTAATGAAACACACCCTATTTCATTACCTTGACCCTTCAATTAGAGAGAGAAGAGAGAAAGAGAGAAAGGAAAAGGAAAAACGGGACCTTTTTGGAATCAAAGATGGAAGAGACTCTAGCACCCACATCCACCGAGAGCAGCTTGCTTCTTCAAAGCCAGGCAAATGTGAGTATCAATAACAACAAATTTAAAAAGTTGTGTTTATAACTGTGATTATACTCTTATATAGAAAATATATAGCTACTCGGATTTTTGAAAACTTTACCAGCAAATGGACCTTTTGCATCCAACAGTTTCTTTTCTTTTCTTTTTTTTCGGCCAAAATAGCCATTATAAAAACTAAGAGTGCAACCATTAGTTCTTTCTCTTCTTCTCATTTCTTTCTCCTCGCTATTTATTTCTCTCGTTTCCTTTTCCTTCATTAGTGTGATTTTGGAGCTTATGGGGCCCAAAAAACCTGCCTTTTGATGCCTTTTCACTCAAATGATAGGCAGCAAATTTTGTTAGGTTGGTTTTCAAAAAATCAACTGGATATAATTATTTGATTTTTTATACTCCACTTTGAGGAAGGTGAGACATAACTTACAAGCTACAAAATATGTTTGTTGTACAGTTCAGGATTGTCTACCATAAACTCATAGTACCTCCAATGATATTGGCTCATCACCCTTCAACACAGATACAAACACACAAAGCCTCAAAGATACATATGCTGCTCAGACCACTTGCTTTGCTCTACAAAACACTTAGGTTACAAATAATTGGCAAGGCACTGTTGTGTTAACCATGCAGCCTTGAACGTTCTGAATGTTATGTGTGCCAAAGTTAAGAACTTTTTTTTAAACCTCTCAGGTTGATTTGGTTCTTGGAAATGACAATTTGTTAGTTAACTATGTATATGTATGCAGTGATCTACTTAATAGCTACTTTCAGTACCATTGCTTTAAGAGTTGAGTCCATAAAGGAGAGCTTTTCTTGTGGAAAAGTGAACAACGGTGATTGTCTCAATATGTATAATGAACCCAATGCTACACAGAAAGTGCTTTGTGAGGTATTTACGCACCCATTGTTTTTGTATCAGAAATCTCAATTATTTGCTGGGGCGCACCCTCATTTTTTCCATTTCTGATATGTTAACAACTGGTATGTAAATACCCTATGTAGACACTTTCCTTGAAGTACTCCATATTTCTCAACTAACACTGAACTTCCCTTTTGGCGTGGTAAATTAATATTAAATTAGACTGTTTGTTAGTGAAAACAAAATATGTAATGTGCATAATAGTAAGCTTAAATGTTTTTAAGGCATGATTTTCTAACACACATTTTTAAAGTCTGAGACAATAATATTATTAATCTGTCCATGCTGCACTTACAGTACCATTCAAAAGTAAGTTGACAGTCCATTGGGAGTCTCAATTCGCGATTCTCGATTCCTTCGCTAATCAAGAATCGAGAATCAAGAACAAGCTATCGAGAATCAAGTCGAGGATAGAATGTCGCAGAACAGGAAACAAAAGATTCACCCATGACTGATATTTTACAAAGACATACAGCTGCAACACAACACAGTATGGTTATATTCGCGCAAGCGACTGTATGCTCGAAAAAAGACCAATTCAAGTTATAAAGCAAATGTTTCCTCAAAGATATCTGTATCAAGCTTCATTTCCTCAAGTAAAGTTTCAAATGCCTGCTCCAAATGCAAACAAACGGTGTGTACTCGTCTACAAGCAACAGTATGTTCATTTTGTAACGTCAAACGATTCTGGGCTTATCTTCCACTTGGCTTGATAAAGATCAGCTGTAACATACTCGTCCATCCATAACATGACTAGTCTTTTGCCCTGAAATTACGTTCGTGATCCTCAAATCCTTTTGAGAAACAATGGTTATAATTCTACTGGGAAATTTAGCACGTTCTTGAAAGGTTGAGGCCTTTGAGATAATCTCATAAAATCCACGATGGAACATGATACGCTTAACTTTTTTGTTGCCTAGCACGTGACTGCTACTACCGACTACTGTGATAAAAAATTGCGCGATGTTAATTTCAAAAGCGGTGTGTATTGCACAAGACAAAATATTGTTCTCAAAGCTCTTAGACGTTTCTGAAGTTTTCTGAAGCTTTACACATATATTCAAATTGAAGTTTTATGTATGCAATCACGTCTCATAAAAAGCAAAGGGCAAAATATCAAACAGAGATGCTACGCATATCTCGAAAACAGCAATTCTGGTGAAGAGGTCAAATTACAAGTAAAGTTTCCAGCGGAAAAAACACCCTCAGACTGTAGACACCGATAATCAGACATTCATCTTCAGTAATACCGATGGACATTCACAAAGAGGCAATCGAAAAAATATAGGCAAGTAAAATTCAAAAGCAACGAGAAGCACCTTGAGTCTTTGTGTACTCATTATCGCGTATTTAACATTTATTTACACAAGCTTCCTTTTGCTTTTATTTGGATTTTACAGATAGAAAGTCATGGATTGCTTTTCAAGTTCAACTGTTACTGACAACATCTGCTATTTAAATGATGAAAAATGCCATTCGCACATTTTTGAGATTTCGACATAGAGTCACCTGGCTGAGCCATGTGAGCAAATGCAAATGTCAACTGCTACTGTATAATTTGCGTAGTTCAGGAATTTCTCGCAAGAATCAGAAGCTAAGTAGACTTTGTTATTTAATAGAGTAGAAAGAATTTTTTTGACGTGAGGGAAGTTAGAAGATTGCTCAAAACTTGAGCAAAGGTTGTAGATTCTCGCAGCAATCGAGTATCGAGAGCAGAGAGCAAGGTACTCAAAACCCTTCACATGTATAATCAACTATATACAAAGACCATTCAGGTTTGATGAGTCTCGCAGGAATCTAGAATCGAGATGCGACAATCAAGAATTGAGTCTCGATTCTCGCGAGGATCGAGAAGCAAGTGTCAACTTACTTTTGAATGGTACTGTACTGTAATCACCCATAATGATTGTCACCCATTTTATTCTCCTCCCAGTACCCATGTAGTTTCAATCTATCTGGAGAGAACTAAGCATTTTAGATTTAAGTACAAGTACAAGAATGACTACAACTACACCACTTTCTGAAATAACTGTAATTTTACACCAGTCACATGCCAGAAATTAAACACTCCTTGCTGTTGCTTGTAATTAGAAAGGAGACTTAAGGTACATGTATGTGATTGTTTTGCTTGATGATCAGAAGTTACTCTCAAACTAAACTTAAAGAGTCATACACACACTCAAATCTTAAAGTTGCAATAATATGGCTCAAATCATTTCAGACTTATCTCCTTCAAAGAGTGCTCACCGAGATTATCACAGCTGCCTTGAAAAACGAGAAAGTAGCCATGGTAATCATACTGAGTCTAGGAATATGTCCACTGATCACCGAAAAGATATGCAAAGACTTAGTGAAAGTGACAGAGAAAGACAGGTGGTCAAAACTTGTTCAGTGCATACCACAGCTCTTCCCACTGTCGTGTACAGGTAAGTGTACATCATAATGTACCCTTTCTCTCTTACCTCAAAACACCCTAAATCGATCTCTTTGCTGACCTATCAACACTGAAACTTTTTTCTGAGGCAATATAGATTTTTCTCATACGACACAATATCAATCTTATTTGAGCTTTTATTACTTAGCAGGCCATCTGATATTACCCGATGGTGCGATTTCGCACAATTGACCTCAAATCGCATCCGGTCGCACAATTTGAGGAAAATCACATAATTCGTTAAAAAAATGCTAAATTCAAGTAAAGTATACAATGAATTCTAACTCTAATTAAACATTTTCCCAATCGTAATGTTATTTAAGGTGATTTACCACTTAAGAAAGCCTTGCAAGGCATCCAAAACCTTTGATAGTGGTATCTGGGCAGCATTTTGATTTCAGAGACAAGCTGTGTGGTCAGCGGTGCAACGGCATCATGTAATATTAAGCAAGTGTCGTTTTTCTTTTCCAGGTCAAAATAATCGGACAAATTTAAATATTTTGCTTTAAAATAGATGTTTTATAATTCCTTTACATTCAAATTGCCTGTTAAACAACATTAAAGTGGTTTTTCTTCTTTAAAACTTGGTAAAACAATGTAAATTAGCCCTGTAAAAATGGCGTAATTTATCGCATAATAGTCCTATCTTTTCGCACAATCTACCCTGAAAATATTGCACAATTTCTGATTTTTTATCGCACCCTATCAGATGGCCTGACTTGGTGCTTTGAAAGCATGATTTGAAATGATTTTGGAAGTTTAAATTATTTAGTGACACCTTTGCTTAAGATCCCTTTATGTTCAGGAATTACTGTTCAAATTGCATAACTTTGAACAAGTTTGTCAAAAGTTACTTAGACCCCAGTGATCTGTTAATAACTGATGACCTCTGCTTAATTACCCATTTATGTGGTTTAGGGGAGAACTTGATAACCAATCACTTCTACTTAGGCATGTACATAATAAAACATCATCATTAACCTTTGTTCTGCGGGTTTATTGTTCTGGCAACATCAGCATTTTTTGAATATTTTGTCCATAAGTAGTTTTACACTGAAACTGTCTCCTTGTGTTTTGCCCTTTACATCATCACCCTAGTGTGACAATAATATTTTGTCCCTTGTTGGCTGTTCTGCCCTACTTTACCAACTCACTACTCTGACTCTCTGTCTCTAAGGAAGTACAAAACTGTTTTATTTTTGGACAAAGCATTGTGATGTTATAGTGACAGGTATTGATGTTGCTGCTTATTTTTTTGTTTTCTGTAAGGTCTGTCCCTGTTGTGGCAAATGTCAGAGGGGAAACAGTGGGTAAGTTTAGTGGACCATAGTAGACAGTCTCACTTAACCCTTTTGTTCGCAATCGTACTAATTCGTTCGATCAGAAGGGGTCTGCAGAAAAATGGTCAGCATGCATTTGCATGAGTCCTGGGTAGCCTGTGGTGACTCGATCGAGAAAGAGAACAACATGGGCGACATTTTGTGTCTGTATGATCAATTATGGTCAAATTTTCGATATTTTATTGACCTCAGCAACACGCGAACTCAAAAAATGGCGACGGAAGACGAAGATCTTTCAGCTGTGGTTATATTTTTGGGGATTTTTGTCGGTAATGGTTGTGTTTTTTTGATGAGTTCTTCAGCAAACTACGAGGCTTAAGATTCAAACAGTTGAACTTTTAAGTGTGTGGTGCTGTTGAGGAAAGGCGCTGGGTTTATAGGCTTGTAAGGTAACTCCAAGCAAAATTTGTCATTTTACAAAGAAACATATGCAAATAGCGCCATTTTGTATCGACCAGTCAAAGGTTTTAGCCATTCTTTCGTAGTTTTAACAGTGTTTATTCTGCTTTCTTGGTTTCAAAATAAAGCTTGTGTAACAGTGTCCACTTGTGTGACATTGTATGTGTTGTCCACGAGTGTGCTCACACGGTGGGTGGCTCCTCCTAAAATGTTCTGCAATTGGTATAGGATTTAATGGAGCCGAAACCAATTGTGGAATTGCACGCATTTTAGGCATCCTACTGATGAACAGTTGGGACATGTAGATACATTTTTTAGCAACTACTATAATTTGCAGTCTGTCTAATTTGAATTGGATCGATCTTTCTTACTGGCTTTTATTTATGTTGCTGTGTGGAGTAATCATACGGTGATAAACTTTAAAGGCAACTATTTTGAGACATATTTTTGTCAAGTTTTTATTTTAAAAAAAAAATTCTCAAAAATGGGATATTTGGTTTTCTAGTACCAAATGCATGGTAGCTTCAAATTAATGTATCCCCAAACAGTCTGCATCAATTTTTGACATCATACTATCAAGATCGATGCCAAGAAATTAATTTTTTGTTGGTAGTATTTTTAGCGGCCTTTTCCTTCCCAGGAACTTGTGAACGAAAGGGTTAATGAATAACAAGCTTCTATTATTGTGTCAATTGTCTGTGAGAGTATGGGCCATAGAAATGGTATGCTAAAATGTGACTCATTACATCACTTGCCTTAATTTTGTACACTGTCACTAAAACTGAATAATTATGTAATGGTTGTGCTTGAAACATACCATTTTTTTTTGTGCCTTTGTTTCAGTTTCCCCTGCAGGAAGTTTACAAGATGTTTCACCACCAACCACACCATCTTCACGACCCAACTTCTATGACCACTCTTCCCATACCCCATCACCAAATGTATTAACTGCAGTATCACCACAAGTGTCACAGCACCATGGAGGCCCTTCACCTCATGGTCACTTTCCTCAAACTGCAGCCCAGTTCCCTTCAAGACATGCAGTGTCTCTAGCTCAGAATTTATTTCCCCAAGTCCCAGTATCTTCTGTTCCACAAGCATCACAGCAGTATCCTTTTGCACAGCAACAATATGGAATTGCACAACAAGGAGCACAGCCTCAAATGAATGATTATAGACAGTATCCTCATGTTAATTGTAGTGGGCCACCTGCTGCAACAGTACCTCTTGCAATACAGACACCCTCACCACAGCCAACAAAGTTTAATGCTCAAGTATCTCCTCAGCCCGTTCTTCATCCACTTCAGCAGGCAACACTAGTGCTACAACAACGAAAGATGTCAGAGGTTTGTTATTTTTTATTGGGCTCGTCTTAAGTAGTGACTTAACCTTATCAGCTGGCAAGTGTTGGTTTAATAAATAAAATTATATGAATTCATATATCTGTCTGGATTTGCAAAAACATGGCTACAGAAATCTCTCTTATATACCCTCTGACTGAGGCTTGTAGTGGAGCTTGTTTTTTTTGTTTTTTTTCATAGTTACTTTTTATTTATTTAATCAGTACGGGATAGGCCACGGTAGATAGACTTTGATTAGTTTCTCGTGGGTTTTTAACCTACCGGTATTACCCACCCACCCCCCCCTCCCAAAAGATGTTTTTCATAACTTGCCATAATTCTCTCTGTATGTCAGTTTGAAATCAGCGCACATATTAGACTGAACTTGGCTCTCATAGTGGGTCGTCTTAGAGTTTTTTGGCTGCCTTGAGCAAAGTTTTCTGGAAGGCATCATTAAGCCTTATGAAGGAACAATTTCGTCACATTTCGGGTGAAAGACTGATCCTGGGCTTGAGAGGGAAAGATTGGATATTGCGACCTTTGTTGTTGGCAGTAACAAGTCTTTGGTCGCACAAAGTAGGTCCTAAGGTTGAAATCTTTTAGGCAAGATGGAAATTCATGCTGATTTCTGACCAGGCCAAAGACTTAGTAAAAAATTGTGTGGACGGCGGGGGCTGTATGTCTCCTTTTCAACTGCTGGTTTACGTCCAGGGTCTTGAATTAATGGACTGTCAGTGAGTCGAGAAAAGTTCCATGTGACGATTTATGTGGAGAAAGCAAGAGTTTTACGGAGTAATTTGACAATGTTTTTGCCCGTGTTAAGTGTTGAAGTATTATGAGTGGTTTTCGGAAGTGTTGTGATTGCCGCAAAACTCATTTATTGTGAGATTTACCGAAAGTGTTGACAGACAAATCTCGGGCATGTGCAGTTGAGCTTGTGCTACCCTGTGCCAAGCATAAAAATGCTGCGTGATTGTTTAGTTTAGGTGATTTTCTCTTAGAAAGCCTATTCTGTGCTCCAAGATTGTGGATTCTTAACCTGTTTTCGGCCGACACTGAGCTGTGGGCTTCACGGTTTTACTGACTAAAAGATTACAATTTCTGGACGTTTCAAATGTTGTTTATTTCATCGCAAAATCCTGTTAGTTCTCAAGAGAACTTTACCGTCTATTGCCAGCAGTAATGCTGTCATTATTTAGCTTCAGTTAGTGACGTTTAACTACTTCCCATTCCACTTAGATGTCAAATAGTTAAAATGCACTTGAAATTTCTTTAGCCACGTTTTAACAAATCCAGGAATTCAGCAAGCCTGAATTTCTTTTTCAGGGTTTCATTTTGCAACTGCATAACTTGCATCTTAAACTGGGATGATCTTCTTTGCATTTATTTAATCATTCTGCAGTTCCAAATTTTGAAATTCATATAAAAATTATTCATTATTACACAGGTTTGACTGAAAATGTCATCCTTCCCTAGTCCCTAGCCTATGTGACATTTTCTTAGATATTTTGTAATAAGGTGTAGTTCCAAAAAAAATATCCATACCCCCGCCCCCCTCCATGGAGGGCACTTTTGTTTTAAATCCCCCACCCCCCTGGAATTTCCGTAATTTTCCAACTTTGTTCAGCACCCCTGGAAAGAACATTTCTGTCAAAAATGCCGTTGCAGTATACTTTGATGTGAAATATAATAACATATTGTCTCTGCGATAAACAGAGAAGACATCATTTTATTTGTGTTAATACAGTGTCAAATAATCTCAACTTTGCCTTTTAGAAGTCTTTCTCAGTTAATTTTTTTACGGCAGGTCACTGAGAACAATCGAGGCGATACGGCCGTACATGACACAAGTGATGCGATCTCTCAAACTAGTGAATTTCAATTACTTCCTTTCAGTTAAAAACATGTTGGAAGAAGGCTTATTAGAACATGACCACATTACATTGAATACCACAATGTATTGTGTAACAAAGCAACTGATAGATAACCAGAAGATTATTCATGAGCTTACGACAATCATGTTACATAAACTATCTTGTAAGCAGTGAAAAAAGCACTCAGCCGACTGGAAATAAACGATCATCGATGAAAACAATAGTTGTTGGTTTGAAACACCAATTAACAGTAAAATAACTTATAGCTTGCTTATTACTCTTACTCGGAGCCCCCGGAAAAAAGGCTCAAGAGGCAATCCCCCCCCCCACCCCCCACCTCTGATTTTGCACTGCCCTCCATGGGGGGTATGGATATTTTCTGGAACTACACAATTACTGCAAAGGAAGATACATAGATAGATAGACGCCTTTATTTAAAATCAGAAAGGAATTACCCAGGGTAGTCCATTCAGGGAGCTTACAAGGAATACCTGCTATCAATAGGAGCCCTGAATTCACTGACGAGACTATAAATAATAATAATAAAATATGTAAAAGGTAATATAACTAATGAACTAATAACAAGATCTTTTAAGATTAAGGACATTTAAAATAACTATTAAAAACGTACTTCCATGGTAATAAAAGGATCTCTGGGAAGACTCGCAGAGGTGTCAAGGAGACAAGTTAAGTTTCGAAATAAATCATTTTCTCAAAAATGCAGTACACCTTTTTTTTTTTGCTGTTGATGAAGTTCTGTGGTAGAATTATTGAACCACAAGTAAACAGAACAGAATCCCATACTATAACCTACACATGGCTGCATGGGCATTGTCTAGGAAACACAAACAGAACCATTGCTGTTTATTGTTTGGCAAACACTTTGTGACATGTTTTTGTTGTTTTTCTACCAGGCACAAGCAGTAGCTGCTCATAACCAGCAACCATATTCTCTGGGTGAGTGGTGTTCTTCGCTCTTTAATTATGTGAACATACTTCGCAAATTCTGAAATAAATGGCGGCCTCTTCATTCCAAGTTAGCAAGTCTAACAGGCTACAGTTTGGGGTACTTGCCATTTTAAGTAGTACTTATTAATTTTGTTGATGTTGAAAAGATGTATTCGATTTATGACTTGGGAGAATAAATAACACAAGATTAAATACCTTGCTGCTCCTCCTGCTAAGGATATTGGTGACCATTGACGCTCAGAAACCATTGTTTTTATAAGCTGGTTTTGTTGTTATTTTGTTTTGTTTTTGCCAATGCCTACTTGTTTAAAACTTTCCTCATGATTTGATTTGTTATAATTCTCTTGTTTATCATTTTAGTGAATCATTCTACCCTTTTTTGTTGTTGTTGTTGTTGTTTTTTTTTTGCCTCTCTGAATAATTCCTGAGGGAAGTCATTTTGACTCCAGTTTAGAGACTTGAAATGGTTACATGTATCTTAGTACGTGACATGTATCTGTTTCACCATGGTTCTCTGCGAATGGAGTCTGAGGATGTCATGTGCACGTCCAGATTCCATTGTGCTTATTGCACAGTCATTTTGATCACTTCAAATCCTTCATGCCATATAAACAACAAAACAACTCTTTTTTTGTGCAAACAAGTGCTTTTGTACTTTTAATTTTTAATGGTTCCTTAAACGCTCATACATATAGGGTGTCACTGTGTTTTTAAATAAAGGCAGGACATTTCTAGTTACCAGGATTGTCTTTGCTTATTGCAGCAGCACCACCAGCTACAGCACCCCCTCAATCCTCAGGAACTGCACAGCAAGTTGTATCACCAATTCCAGTTCCTTGTTTACATTTGAAAGATGACAGACCGCACCAGAGGTCACCTGGGTCTCCTGTTATGTTTACACAGCAGGCCATGCTCAAGGATCCTATCCCACATCATCCCTCTCCACAGCTTCCCTCGTTTTCTACACCAGGATCTAATTTAGTGTCTACAAGTCCACTTTCTCATTCTTCAAATGCTTCAAGTCCAGTGACTGTTTCCCAGCCCCCAGGTCCTTCAGTCAATTTGCAGTTACTAGGAAAGTTTGTGGATAAAAATCTTGCTTTGCATTTGTCAAACTGGCCAACAGATGTTATAGACAGACAGGTGAGAGCACTTGAGTGCCTTCAAAAACTTATAAAAGTGAGTTTTTAAAGTGACTACCTAGGCATGCAAGTGAAAAGTATAACAAGTTGCAGATCATTGCCAACTTTACCTAATATCAAAAGTAATTGGTCTTAAATTGCTTAAAGGAAGTCAATATTCCAGTTCCTTTTATAACACCATCATGAATTTTGTGATGTCCTTTGGTTGCCACTATTGCTATATACTAAACAGCATTGATCCTCGACAATAACAGCAACTTAATGAAATGTATGTAATTTAAAACAGCAGCACGCAGGAGATGTATAGTCTCTGTGTTTACATACAATTTCCAGTGCATCCAAATCGTCTTTTTAGAGTTTATTAATTACAAGTGAACACAAGAATTTATGGTAAAGCTGAAGATTTCTCAGACTTTTCATGATAAGTGGAGTGTATGATTTTTGAGGAGTGATACATGAGATGTGTTTATTACATGGAGGTAACATTGGATTTGTCAGAAGTTAGGGGCAGAATTCTATCTCTGAGGAATGTGATGTCAGTTGTAATGTCACATCATGTATTTCTTTTTTTTTTTAGCTGCAGAAAATCTGGGAAGAAAGTACATGCTTTGCAAATGACAGTGATAAAGCCAAAATAGAACAGATTCAACTTCAATCGGAGACAGGTTTTATGGAAATGAGACTTGAGACTGCGAGCAGAAGGTGAGTTATTACAGGCTCTTGGTAGACTTCGTAAAAGCCAACAGAATGTATGCAGAATCAATCAAGTAAACGGCTTGGCTTCCTGGGCCCAGGAAGTTATCCACTAGATTTATCTAGTGGATAACGTAGTTGGTTTCCCTAATATAAAATATTTATCCGGTGGATAGTGATATCCAGTGTTTGAAGAACTGGGTCCTGGTGGAGATGAGTGTGTACTGGTCATTACATATTTCCAGAATAGAGCAACAACAAAAACATAAATTGCTGTCCTAACCTTATGTGTAAAGTTAATTCCCTGGCCCCAGTTGTTCAAAAGCTGGATAGCACTTTCCATCGGATAAATCTCTATCCAGTGGATAAGTATCATCCAGTGGATAGCGGTGTCCTTCTTTGGAACTACTGGAGCTAGCAGCCTGTTTCTTGAAAGTCCCGAAAGCTTTTTGGGCCTGGAAAGCTGCTTTGTGTTTGCTGCATTTACATTCAAGATTAAAGTTTCGATAATTTTGAAAATAATGAAATGAAACTATCAGTTAACGAAGCAAAATTGACTGGTTTATTGGCGAGGAACTGTGCTACTATTTAACAGGTTTGGATTTTAAATTTGCCTTCGGACCCAAAAAGTTTTCGGGGCTTTCGAGAATCTGGCCGGCAGATGTGAAAGATGATGTGATATTGTTGTAAAGAAAAACTTTTCAATCATTGGTGTGGAACTGTGTGTGTAAAATAAGTTGGAAAAGAGGGCTTTGTTTCAGATCTTTGTAATAACTTTTTCTTTGATCGATACAAGAAGGTAAAGACTTCAGTGACTCACTTGTGATGTATCTTTTCTCTGTACAGAATTTCTTCACTGAAGGGAATGACAAGGACTTTGGAAACTCTCCTTGCGGAGTCCGATGCTAAATTCTTATCGTAGTCCATAACAAGAGTAATTTCAAATTGTGTACTAATGGTTGGAAGTTAGCCAAAATGGTGAAATAGCAAGGACAAGATCGTAGGGAACAGTGTTGATGTTTATTGGCTTATTTGTCGATGAATGAGATCCACGGTGTTAAGCCAAACTGCGGTGTATTCTATCCTTGCTGTTTTCTCACTGTCCAAATTGGCTTTGGTTTAGTTAAAGATAATAGGTAGTTTTGTATTTTAAGCTTCCATTGAAGAATAGTCTCTTCCACAATTATGTGCTGTTGGTGTTGGCAAAGCCAAGTGTCCCAGTTACGTTGATAATTCCTAACCGTCCCATCCCTCCCCTAATGCCTTCTATCCCCATTACCCTCTTTAGCCGTGACAGTAATAAATAAACATTGTTCTAAGAGACACGAAACTGTTGTACAATAACACCTATAAGAAAAAAGTAAAGAATTATTTACTTTCTAGATGTCGTTTTGAGTATTTGTATGAAATATTACGTCAAATGACTTAAATAATAAAGTGTTTTGTTGTAGTGTGATTGTTGTTTCACTCGCCACATCAGGTCATTGCATTTTTTTAAAAATAATTATTTGGAGTGGTCAGACCACCCTGTGTGAAAAATTTCAAATTTTACCCAGCTTTTAAGTAACGATTTGCCAAAGGAAAAAGTGGTTATTCAGTTTGTGTGAATAACCCTAGTATATTTGCCCCTCGTCCGCCTTTTCTCCATAGACTGTTTGACAACCTGTCTAATTTCCCATCAACGTGACCATGGAAAGCAAGTGAAAGAGTATGTGGTTAAGGAGAAGGGGTGTCTTCACCTTCGCTGTGACACGCGCTTCAGTTAACGCGTTCATCAATTTTTAACAATTAATGAATGACGCTGAGTATCTTATGAAGATTCATGGAGATCGAGGAGGGTGTTATCAGGTGGATAACACCCTCCGAGATCTCCATAATTCTTCATATGATACGAAAGCCGAATTCAATAATTGTTTTATTATTCATTCAAAATAATTCCTAGTTTAAAACATAGCTAAAACTGCTTACCTCCATCGATGTTAAGTTCATCTTCGATAGTGCACGTTTAGGGTTGTTCAGCTCCGCAAATATTCTCCAAATAGCAGATGTCGCCCTTCGAGTTGTCTTCTTGTTGTTCTTGCCATGTTTTTAGCTATTATTTCGCCTAGGTCTTACTCTTGAAACGAGTGAAATGTCCGCCATTTTTTGTTTTTACAACCCAAACAACTCAACCTCGCACCCAGGTCTCGTCGGTTAACGGTGCATTAACCCGCAAGANTATTATTCATTCAAAATAATTCCTAGTTTAAAACATAGCTAAAACTGCTTACCTCCATCGATGTTAAGTTCATCTTCGATAGTGCACGTTTAGGGTTGTTCAGCTCCGCAAATATTCTCCAAATAGCAGATGTCGCCCTTCGAGTTGTCTTCTTGTTGTTCTTGCCATGTTTTTAGCTATTATTTCGCCTAGGTCTTACTCTTGAAACGAGTGAAATGTCCGCCATTTTTTGTTTTTACAACCCAAACAACTCAACCTCGCACCCAGGTCTCGTCGGTTAACGGTGCATTAACCCGCAAGAAGGCTGCACTTTTGACATCATCGGTTCATTAAACGCTAACTTCTTCCAAATTTGGTCAAAAGTAGCTGGTTATGGTGAATTATGCGTGTGCTTTTAACCAATCAGAATCGGGGAAATATTTTGGAATAATAAAGAGTCTTCAAGTCTCTTTCGCAGCCGCTCGGGCCAGAGTCACGCTAGCTCCCCGCCCACACGCGAGACTAGAGTCTTGGTAACCGAGACCTGCCTTCGAGGGTGCTAATCGCGTAGCCTGCCAGCAAACCCTCCAATTACGACGAGCGAAACGAGCCGCGAGAGAACGCGCGAGCGAGCTTGCGGCTCTCGCGTGATATCTTGCCACTCCCCCAAATCGAGAGCTTGCTCGCAGGCTTACTGGGGCGCTTTGCATTCGACCTAAAATTCCGAAAACGGTGGCGAATGACACGGGAATTTCCTGGGAAAGTTTCTAGAAATTCGAGAATTGTTTAATTTCTGATCTGATCTGAAATGATAACGATTCAACCGAAAGTTCTGAACTGTAGGCCAGTTGTACTAAGAGGTCATGTGACATCGTTTTGATGAAAATGAAAGTTACATGATTTTGCCTTCGAAAAACGATTAGTGGGTCATATCTTAAACAAATTAATAGTGATTCGGTTTTTGAAACCCGCATCATTTTCTTAAAATGAGTAAGTTCGTAGCTGGTCACGTGTCCAAAATGTGATGATCTGAACACAAATTTTTGCACTTAAAATTCAAGAAAAATGTTGAAAAGATGAAGTGGTAACGTTTGCAGCACATCTGAGCGTATCTATCAAACGTTTCACAAGATATAAGCAAAAAGCAGTTTTGGCCTCCATGTCGGAGAGCAAGATTCACTGAAGAGTATGCCCTTCAACATGGCGGCCAATACAAATCATACTACTTTGTTGAAAAATCAAAGTGCCATGAAATATCTCCCTTAAATGCGTTTCCTCTCAAATTTCGGGTGTACCGTGCCAAACTAAATCTTATCATTTAGTGTAAGATAATTTTCATGTGCTCTGTCAAGTTTTGGCATCAGCAAGATTCCAACTCATTGTTTAAAGGAAGTATTGGTCACGTGACCTCTTAGTGCAAGTGGCCTATTCTGGGAGCAAAGTTGAATGGAAAGAAATTTTCGAAATTTGGGACACTAGGCGTACACCATGCGCGGTTGTCCTCTCTTTGGAAATTTTTGAAAACGCTGAAAACGCCGTCATAGTTGCTTCAGCATCAAATTTCTCCTTGTAATATCAATGCTTTGTAAAACAAAGTGGTCATGAGAATTACAGACATGATCACACAACATGAATTTGCTTGACATTTTATCAACTTCTCCCCACTACTTCTGTAGGAAATGAAAAGGAGCAACAAATGAGAACTCAAACTTTTGATATTAGGATTTAAAGGGTTAAGCTACCTCAAAACAGCATTCCACGCTAAAATCCCGCCAGCTACTAACGCTAAAACAAAGTGGGCTTTCAGGTTTTTTGCTCGGGCGTTTCCATGGGAACGGCCCAGCTAAAAAATGGGCTTTCTTTCTGCCCTTCTGCCCCCTGGCGCATACACAGATACAGTGCGTGCACGAGATTTTTAACAATAATTCATCGAGCCCGAATGGGCTCTGAGTCAAGGGCTATTGACTTAGAATCCATGAGGGCGAGAGGAATAGCTGTTTTAGTAAAATCCAACTACTTGGTCAAAAATATTGAGACAAAACAACTTAAGCTAGCAAAACGCGATTCATTCGCCATTGTTTTGGTTTTCAAAGCCGGCGCTTTTCTCTACTAGTGGGCTATAACATATAGCCTAGTAGTAGCTCAACCAATCAGAATGCAGCATTGATAATAGACCACCAGTTAGATTTACTAAAAGAGTATACGTAGCCGGTGTACAGATGCCCCCTCCCCTCAGAAAAAAACGGGTCTCTCTCTTCGATTTTTTTTAGAGGGAGCTGGGTAGCCAGGGTAGCATGGCGGTTTTCTTGTTGGGCGCGTAAGGTAAAAAAGGCGGTTCATGGCAGAGAAACCGCGAGGAGATTGGGGCGCGCGGTTTTGCGGCTTCGCCGCTCAGTAGTGCGTTCGACAGAACCGCCATAGTTTCGCATTCTTGGAGTTAGGGGGCGTCTCTACACGGGCTATTGAAGACTATGATTTCTCAAGTGAAGTTTTCTCATTTTAACTTTTTTATACGGAAGCCCGGGATGACGTCTAGTCTCTAAGAAATATAAGGGCAGAATTGACCAGAAACGACAGAAGACTACTCTCAGCTTTATTTTTTCGAAACCCATTTTTCCTATAACCCATGTGTACACGTGGTCCCCCTCGTCCCAACACTCCCGTGACCCCGTCCCCATGTCATGTCCCAGTCCCATTTTTATACTCATCCTTGGGGGAGGGTAATAATTTGCAAAGAAAGCTTTCAATAGACCTTGTCACGGTTTTCGACGCCATCTTGACGAGTAGGCAAAAGCGTGAGAAATTACAGCGTTTGTGTGAGAATCTAATTCTTATGTCGAATAATTTCCGTAAAGCGGCTGTTCTGAAAAAAATATGAATTGTAAACTAAAGCTTCACTCCTAAGGATTCTACTGAAACAAATTGAGGGCGTTACATGCGCTAGAAGACCTAGAACCACTTTTTAAAATTTTCTATACATTTGTCTGTTAAAAAATTCCAGGGAAAAATTACAGAAAAATATATGGAAAATCTAAAGCAAGCCTCTGGAGAAATTTAAGCACAGGTACGCCCCGAAAATGTTTAAGTACCATCCTTTGCTTTGTAGCTTTAGTTTACAATTGATATTTTTTCAGAAAAGCCGTTTCACGGAAATTATTCGACATTAGATTCTAATACAAACACTGTAACTTCTCACATGTTTGCCTACTCGTCAAGATGGC